TTATGCATCAGAAAATTGTCAAATTTCACATGTGAAATCTCTATGACCTCCAAATAATTATCAAACGTTTTTTTTAAAAAAACTATAATTTATCTGTTATTTTCACTATTGTTGTATGGGTTTGGTCGATTCGACTGATCTCGTAACCATGATAAAAAATTAGGAAATAGATATAAATTACACTTTTTTCATTTTAAATTACTACAGATTATAACATAAAACCACAAATGTTTAATCTAACTAGCTTAAATTTCATAATATTATACGTATATAAAAATTTATTATTTTTCTTTTATTGACCTTTCAACAGTGTCTGACTAATATTACAGAAGTTGAATGCTGTGGCACACATGCACTTATATTACTATATCCAAGAATATAAACCAGTCACATTTCAGTTATAATACATTATATATCTATATGCATTATTGCTATTTACAAATAAGTTCTTAAATTTCAGTTAATATTTTTAAAACATAGAACAGTAAAATAAAGAAGTATAGAAAACAGTTATCTCTTCTACTTATGAACTTTGTACTTGTTTGCTGCTTGCCTTAAGTTGCTAAGCCTTATCAAATTTTGCAAGTGAAGGATGTAAAGCAAAATAATGTTTTTAGGTTTTATATATATATGCATTTTGAAATATCAAAAAATCATAAATTATTATATCAATACCATAGAATTCCAATGTAATTTATCAAGCTTAGTAACTAAACTGTATTTGGGTCTAAAAATATGATTTTTTGAGCTCACTGATGTCTTACCACTTGAAATCTAGCATGAAAAGAAAGAGTTTCCCATGCAAATACTTTGCAGAGGCTGAGAAAATCACTAGGGAAATATTCTGAGCTTTCAATTGGTTATACACATGTCATTGGGTAAAGTAAGTGTATATAAGCAAAAGTGGGGCCACTTTGGTTGATTCAATAAATATATTAATATATCAGAAAATAGGAAAGATAGGAGGTTTGTATCTTATATTCTAGCTTATCAATATTGTTAATTTGAGTATCTAATTCATAAGAAACTATAGACTTTGTATTTGGACATCACAAACATCTAATTTGAACCAAAGCTGTATTCAACATACCATGTGACACACAAAAAATCAATATTTAGGATTTTTTTAATATTTACTTTTAAATAAAATTAACTCGTATAATACTAAAATTTGAATTATAATCTACAGCTTGATAACCAAACTTATTGACATACATTCATAAAATAGTAGTTCAATAAAATTTTGAATGTGAGTCTACAAATGTGATGACATGGCCTTTGACCCGTGTCGGTAGGATTAATCTTGACCAAGTTCTTTGAAACTTCAAATTGATGATTTGTATCTGATTGACTGTGTGTAATCTTCCAGAATGATGTTTATTTTTTTTCAGGAATTGAAAATGAGTGACATATATATTGAAAAGTTTCTAGACTTCTGTTGTCAATTGTTGTGTCATGTTTTAGAGGTTAGTATCAACACTGTTTAAAAAGGAATCAGCAAGATACATTACATATCTTTTAAATAAAAATGCTTAGTTATATTTCTTTTGTGAACTCTTTTGTTTTAAAGAGAAAAAGTGTCACAGTTATTTAGCTCCAAAGTTAAACCACTAGGCTTCCCTCAGTATAATTTTTTCAGTGAATGATACATCAATGAAAGAGTTTAACTTGTTATTATTAAACACTACTTTATAAAGAGTTTTGCTGTAAGTCACTGATAGGTTGGTGTTATCTATTAGAACAGAAAATACAATACATGATTTTTGTTAAGCATATTAGTCAGTTTTGAAGCAACTTTAAGTTTATATTATTACTTGTATGTTAAAAAAGATTATAAAAACATACTAAGACTTAGAGAGGTGTTAACATATTTTCAAGTATGTATATAGTTTTTACTCTTATTAATTATTTTTATTGGAGTATTTAGGAACTTAAATTCTGGTTATTGATGACAGAGCACACTAGACTTATAATATTTAACCAAGTCACTTTTGTTTACTATATCTGCTATTATACTAAATTGATGAATCCGTGATGCTATGAAGTTTGGCTTCTTCTAACCTTTGTAGCATTTACATTATCAAGAATTTAACTATGTGCAAATTCCTAATGTAATGATAAATTCATGATTAAATCAGAGATCAGAACATATTTAATAAAAAATTTTCTAAATTAATTATAATAACTAAGGTCTAAGTTAAATACATTAAAATACAATTTGAGAGATGTATTATTTTCAGGCTTTAATGCCTTTGTTTTTGACTTATCTGATTTTCAGAGAAACATGATTACTTGAATCGCATACAAGAAATATTTTCTTTAATTCAGTGTCTCTTCATGTTATTATAAATATATATTTTAGTCTATTTTTGCTTAAGTAAATACCTAACTTTCAAAATAATGTACCATGGCTTTAGTTAAAGTATTTATTTTAACATAACTTTTTGTTTTTTTATCCAGACAAACATGGTTTCTGAATCTGAGCCTGTCCCCTTGTTTCCTGTAGAAGAACTTCTTCAGGGTCAAGAAATCCATGGTCAGACTCCATTAGTAACCCTTGCCCTTGGTCAGAAATCTTCTAATTATAAATTGGTTGACCATCACCTCCATTTAGCTACAGCCATGTTAATGGTCATTAGCTTCCAACTTAAGTCTGTTAGAATTCTGTCCATGTATGATACTATGGTAATAATTTTATACTGTTATACTACCAGACCTTTATAGACGTAAAAAAATAGGATTGTTTTGTTCTATTTTATTGCACTTAAAAATCCTTTCTAATCTTAATGGTAAAGATCTTTCAAGAGTAGATGTGTTTATTTTGACTACTAGTAAGGACTTTGTCATAGGATTTGAGAATACTCTTACATAAGGAAAAAAAGCATGGGTTATACTTTTAAGTTGTTTGAAGAAAAATCAATTTTTTATATGCATAAGGGTCAAACAATCTATAATTTGTATAATATAATAATACTTAGTTTTTGTCTGTCCTCAAAATGTGCGTGCACCTTAGTATCAAATCTGCATCTGTGTACACTTCATGTCAATGGACGTAAATATACTTTAGTAGATGTTTTGTACAACAACATATTAAAAACTTATCAAAGTTTTTAAAAAGGTCTAATGTTAGGTCCTAGAATAACATTATAAGTTTATTTATTGATAGTATTAAGTACAGTAAAATTTAGGCCTAACCAAAGCAAAAAATGCACACAAGTTACAGTGTTAATTTATCTCTTTATAGACTGTTCTTAACTAATGTTAGGCTTAAGACAAGTGGACTTACAGATTTTTGTGTCTGCAAGTAGAATTCTTTCCTATTATTCTAGAAATTCTGTATTTAAAGAAGTACTATTGCAATAAAGATACTTTGACTAGAAACTTTTTGTGGGTCTCTGCTAGTTCATAATAATATAGAAAGTATATGGTATGAAAAAAATAGGAATTGCATTAACTGTTGATGTTTTTTTTGTGTTAGGGAAGAAATGCCTTTTTTCATGAACTTAATGGCAGTCATTCAATGAAATTAAATACAGAGGTGATTGACACACAATTAATGAGGGCTCGAACTCATTTCTTGCTTCGAGTAACTTCTGCCATTGCTGAAAGTGTTCCAGAATCCATACCAGATAACATGTCATTTCCAGTATCGTTGAGACTTTCCAGAACTAGCAGTCACTCTGGAATATGCATGAGTTCTCCTGGGCAATCTCATGCGAGTCGCTGGTTTGGTCGAACATTAGACCTAGCACGAGGTTGGAGAGTTAATGTAGATGAAGTGAGAAGACATTATGTTTGTGAACTATACTCTGGGGGATACGACTCTCTTGCTGAGGAAGTGAGTTGTTTTTCACATAAAGAATAGAATTAATCTTGTACTAGTTTATTTTCAGTCTCCTAGAATGTAACCAACCTTTTCAGTAAAACATGAGACTGAGGAGATAAAAAGATACTCTGTCTCTTTGTATTGAATTCAAATTATAAAGTTTTATTCATAGATCTCAAAAAAAATATCAGCCACATCTAAGTAAAGTACTAATTTTGTTTAGGACTTTAAACCCCACAAGTAACAGATGTAGCAGAAAAAAAAGGAAAACTTGTTGATTAAGACACATTAGAAATATAGATCATCACAAAGATACAAACATATGTAAGTAAAAGTAAGTTGTGTTAAACCATTTGAACATAAATTGTTTAGGACACTGATTAATTAAAAAAAAAGTAACTTTTATTTGTTTATTTCACATTAAGAGAGTGTAATGCCAAGTTTTTAATATTGTATAGAGTAGAACTGTTAATTATTCTATAAAGACTAGGACAATCTGTATTTTTGAAATTTACTTAGTAAAGACTTAACAAAACTCAAGTTCAGCAGTCAATGGATACATTTTCAGACAGGTATTTAAAAACTTTTGTAATTGTTGTGTTCTCTAGGCCATGACAGCTGTCACTGACCGTGTGTTACTAGGATCACAACTGCTCCTTTTGGCTGGTCAGAGAGTGAGACATGCAATTATTGGACTCACGGACACAGCAGAGAAGTTGGCTCAATTATCCCCAACACTGTCCTCTTGGCTAAAATCACTGGTATACACAACTTCTTAATCTGTTGTACTATGAATGTGATATTGAGTTAGTTGCAGTTTCTGTTACTGACAATAGTGTAGAAATATTTACTATGAACAAGTACCACATGGTACTATGGCACTGTTGCTGGATTATGTGGAAATGAATTAGTTGGTTATTGTTCATGAAGAAAAATAAAATTATAAAAGCATTATCATGACAAGAAAAAATGAATTAGTTTTAGTAAATAACATAAAAAATTGATGATGAACTGATGGTTTAACCAACTATACAATGAGAGACTGTGATGAGAGATTTTTTCCTGTCTTCCTCTATAATAGAGTAAAAACTGAATGAAATAACTTCCATCAGAGTAAAATTGTGTAAAGTAAAATAATGTTGGTGTAATTTTTTTTTTCATAAACATATAAACATTTAAAAAAAATTTCCAGAAGCTGTGGTACTTGGAAATGTAGGGAGTTGTATGTGGACTTAACCAGTTTCAATTTTATTGGCTAAATTGGTAAAGGAGAATATATACACCTGGAAAAAAGTTAAGCACCCCCAAATATTTTTTAGGATTGCTTATTGAAAATAAGGTTTAATTTTCATGATGTTGAGCAATGTTCATAATTTCAAACATAATTGAAAGGATGTGAGCGTTCAGGTGTGACATTTAAATCAGGCGCGTTTTTGCCCCACGTGCCACTTGCTCCCTTCTTCACGTCCAGTATGCATTATTTTCTCGTGCATCAAATCCGTATTTAAGTCCCAATTTTTCTGAATGCAAAATCATTTTA